CACAGCTAGTTCAGAAGTAGATTCTAATTTCCTGGTTATATTGGTCAGCCAAGGCTTTCCGGATTGGCCCAGGATAACAACCCCAATCAAGAACCTCATAGTTAACAAGGCCCACCTGGTAACAATCACTACATTCGGTCACTTCAGAGTAAAGTTAGGAGTCAACCAGATTGGTGTGGAACTGGTTATCTGAAGATTGTGGAGACCAGTTAATTTTAGTTACAGGACTAAGATTTTGGTTGGATGGGCAATCAATGCTGATTATTTTTGGCCCTATTTCTGCAAATGATACTGCACATGAAAATAATTCCAAAAAAGTTATATTGGACTCAAAACATTAACTTTGTATTTTTCTACGCAGATGCTGCCAGACCTGCTGAGTTTCTCCAATGCTTTCTGTTTTTCATTATGTGTGGAAATTGCTTCTCCTGGCTATAATGTTCCAGGTAAATAATCTTTAATAGATGTAACAGCACCAACAACATGCTTTTATACAGTACCTTTAATGTAATAAAATGTTCCAAAGTACTTTACATGAGCTCTATGAAGTCACATATCCCATAGGTTTTTTTTTGCCACTGCGCATATCTCTGAGGTTTGTGCAGAAGTCATTCTTTGACATGCAGACTGGTCTGCACAGAGCTTCCCAGCAGTTATGCTCAGTTTAGAGACAACATTGATATAAAGTACAATTGGGCACAGAGTTACATAAGGAGAAATTAGGACAAAATGTCAAAAGCCTTATCAACAAGGTAGGTTTTAAAGAGGACCTAAAAGGACAAAAAACAGGTAGGATGATGGAGAAGTTTAAGAAAAGAATTCAAGGCCACATGCCAAAGCAACTAAACATAGGTCGATCTATGGTGGAACAACTAACAGCGGAAACTTTCCAGAGAGGTCAGAATTAAATGAGCATAGATACTTTGGACGGGGGGTATTAGGCTTGCAGAGATTATGTAGATTAGAAGGCTGTGGAAGAGCTTGAAAAAGGAAACTGAATCTTAAAATTGAGGCAGCGTTTGACTAAAAGAAAATGTCAATTAGCAAGGATCCCAAACTTGGATTGGGTGGATATTATCACTTCTGCTGGTGGTTTAGGAGTGGGTCCCTCAGCCTCCTTTGAAGCGGTGGAGACTGCTGTTCCCAGGAAGGGACCTGCTGGTGGTAACCTGATTGTGCTGGAATCTCTCACGTGCAATCACCTCCTATTCACGGAATCTCCTGTTGCTTCCAAATTCTCACTCAGTTGAACAAAACGAAGTTTGGTCTTGTGAGATAAACAGAAGCTACAAGTGTCACAAACATGAACCCTGAAATCAACCTGCCCACTTCTGGTTTTAAAGAAGGAGTGGGGGAGGGTAGATGGGTGGTGATAGCAGATAGCTGACCTGCTCACAAGTGGTGGGTTGCTAATTTAAATGTCATAATGAAGCTGTAGCCTCATTTTTATCTAACATTTTGCAAAAATACTCTGGGCAGTTGGGTTCTACAATCCCCAGCAAACCTGTAACCATAAAGTTTGCTTGATCCAGGAGATAGATGTATTTCTACATACCTAGTGGATTCAATGGAGCTGCAATGCTAGAACTCTTCTCCAGTTTTCCTGCAATAACTGGGAGTCAAATTGTTCAAACAGGTTGACGTGCTTTAGTGCCCACTACAAGGATCTCTTTCAGCATCTGCTTCAGTAGATCAAAACTTTAGAGTTTTCTCCTGATACTCCAAGTAATGAGTATCTTTGTACACTAAATATAGCATTAGAAGTTTATCATGAAAATGAGCTTCCACACATTTTTCAAAAACATTTATTTTCTGAAATAAAGAAAGGGAATACGAGTAACATATTTCATTAAGCAGAGCAAATGTACCAAAAAATTCATTAAAGTGACTGTGTCATAAGCAATTGAACCAATATTTAATTGAAAATGGCAAGAAAACAACTTATAAATAAGATATGAATAAATGCTCAAAAACACTTGTGTTTGGCAGCTTTGGCTAAAGTAGAAATTTTAGTCAAAACATTGGGAGAGTTTTGTACTTTTTTGTCATAGTCAGAGAAAAAAAAAGTTTTCATAGCAAGGAAAAATGGCCCCTCATCTCAACTTGTCCACACCAGTCATCAAGCATCTTTCTTCATTCTATTTCCCAACACTTGTACACTATGGCGTTTCAAGTACTCATCTAAATACTTCTTAAATTTCTTGAGAGCTCCCTCCTCCATCACCTTTTTAGGCAGTGAACTCCAGATACCGAGTACCCTCTGGATGAAAAATGTTTTCTCAATCTTACCTTAAAAGTATGCCCCGGTTACTGATGCCTCTACTAAAGGGAAAGGGCATAACAGGCTCGAGGGGGTGAATGGCCTACTCCTGTTCCTATGTTCCTATGCAAAGTTTCTCTCAATCTGCCCTATCAATGACCCTCATAACTTAGACCTCAGTCAGATTCACCTCCACCAAATACATCTTTTTTCAGAGAAAACAACCACAGCCTATTTAATATAAGATAACAAGGTATAGAGCTGGATGAACACAGCAGGCCAAGTGGCATCAGAGGAGTAGGAAGGCTGACGTTTTGGGCCTAGACCCTTCTTCCATCAGCATTCCTGTTCCTCTGATGCTGCTTGGCCTGCTGTGTTCATCCAGCTCTACACCATGTTATCTCAGATTCTCCAGCATCTGCAGTTCCTACTATCTCTGAAATAGCCTATTTAATATCTTTGTTGATTAATCACTTCAGCAACATCCTGGTGAATCTCTTCTGTACCTCTCGAGTGTAATCACATCTTTCTTATAGTGTGGTGAGCAGTACTCCAGCTACGGCCTAATTAATGTTACATACAGCTCCATCATAACCTCCTTGCTCTTTCATTCAATGCCTTGACTAATAAAGGCAAGCATCCCACATATCTCTGACCCACCTTAGCTACTGGTCCTGCTTTCCTCAAGGATCTATGGACATAAAACAAGTTCTCACTTGTCTGAAAAGTTCCAGCAGATCTTTTGCATTCAACCATGCTGGTAGACAAGATTTGGACTACTCCCAATAAGACAGACATTTAGTATGCACTGAAATGTCAGCCTAAGTGTGTGGAGGCTTCAACACCCAACCTCTCATTCACCTATTTTTGTGCCGCCTGCAAACTTGACTATAATACATTCACTTCTCTCATCCAAGTCATTATATAAATGGTAAATAATTGTGACCCCCAGCACTGACGTCTATGACATTCCACCAGTTACAGGTCGACATCCTGAAAATCCCCCCTTTTTCTCAACTTTATGTCTTCTATTATTTTGTCAATCCTCTATCCACACTAGTATACTACCTCCAACATGCTGAGCTATTATCTAATCAAGTTGCCTTCTGTGTGATACCTTGTCAAAAGCCTTTTTGAAGGCCAAACGTATTACATCTACTGGTTCCCCTTTATATCCTGATGAGTGCAAGTTGAAATGCTTCAACAAAATGTGCATGTTTTAGCAACACGAGTTCTGTAATACCAAATGACTACAACATCATTGTGGCAAATGAATTGTCTGTGTGCTGAAAAAGAATTTCAAATGAATAGCTGTAATGTAGTAGAAGACATACAAATGAAACAAGTACTTACTCTTGATCTTCCAAAAGACCTCTGAATTGATTGAGCAGTATCTGCTGATTGGCAGAGTGATTCTGTAATGCCTATTTAATAGACATTAACATGTATTGAGTTTGCATACTAGGGCAAAAGCAGTAGTTACAGAATTTCAGGAATGTTGATTTATCAAAAAAAGACAATCTTTGTTAAATCACTGAGGAAGAAATGAAATTTCCTTGACTATCCATATCTAGCGCCTACTACTGGTTAAGCAATGGATTTGTTTATTCAAGTGAAACATAAGAATTACATTGGAGTTAATAATAACTCATGCAGCTTTGAAGGAATGAACTCATGCAGGAATGAACAGGCAAGTACATGGATTAATGTAGTTATTTAGTAACGCAAAAACAGTTGCAAGTGTCACTGCATATAAGTGAACTACACAATGAGAATAATAGGATTTATTTAGCATACCCATATTTGTTCTGTATAATTTTTCTTTTCTTCTAATTCAGTTCTTACCTTCTTCAATTCTTGACTCAAACCATCAATGGTTTCCTGTAAGAGTCTGTGAAATGATATTCTGATTTTGAATTGTACTTTTTTTAAATGCTCGCATCACAGTTATTTAATTAGGAGCCATATAAAATCAAAAAGTCATACAGCACAGAAACAGACTTTTCAGTGCAAACAGGCCACGCTGACCATAATCCCAAAGCAAACTAGTCCCACCTACCTGCGTTATGGCCCATATCCCTCCAAACATTTCTTATTCATGTACTTATCTAAATGTCTTTTCAACGTTGTAACTATACCTGCATCCACCACTTCCTTTGGAAGTTCATTCCACACAAGAACCACCCACTGTGTAAAAACATTGCCCCTCATGTCTTTTTTAAGCCTTTCGTCTCTCACCTTAAAAATATGCGTCCTAGTCTTGAAATCTGCTACCCTAAGGAAAAGACACCTGCCATTCACCTTACCTATATCCTTCATTATTTTGTAAACTGTATAAGGTCACCTCTCAACTTTCTACACCCTAGTGAAAAAAGTCCCAGGCTATCCAGCCTCAACTTATAACTCAAAACCTCCATTCCGAGCTACATCATGGTAAATCACTTCTGAACCCTCTCCAGCTTAATAATAAAATTCTTCCTATAACAGGGAGACCAGAAATGGAAACAGCTCTCCAGAACAGGCCTCACTAATGCCCTGTAAAACCTCAACATAACATCCCAACTCCTACCTCAAAGGTCTGAGCAATGAAGGCAAGCAGGCTAAATGCCTTCTTAACCACCCTACCTATATATGTTGCAAACTTTGAAGAATTATGTATCTGAACCCCTATCTCTCTATTCTACGATACTACCCAGAAACCTACTTTTAATTGTGTAAGTGCCTGTGGTCTTGTTTTTATCGAAATGAAATACCTCACATTTATCCAAATTAAACTCCATCTACTGCTCTTCAGCCCATTGACCCGATTGATCAAGATCTCTTTGCAATCTTAGATAACCTTCTTCACTGTCCACTATGCCACCAATCTTTGTGTAATCCGTAAACTTACTAACCATGCTTTCTGTATTTGCATCTATATTATTTACATAAATGACAAACATTGTTGGTCACAGGCCTCCAATACGAAAAATTATCCTCCACCATCACTTTCTGATTCCTGCCATTAAACCAATTTTGTATCCAATTGGCAAGTTCAGCCTGAATCACATGTGATCTAACTGTCCTAATTAGTCCATCATGTGGAACCTTGTCAAAGGCTTAACTAAGGCCCAAGTAAACAATATCAACCGCTCTGTCCTCATCAATATCAATATTTCAGTATCTTCACTGAAACAATCAATTTCATCACCCTCATTCATTCCTATTGGATATGACGAATGAAACTTTCAGCCTAAGTGCCTCAATTACCAAATAGTTTCTATTATTATTACTTTCTACAATTAGAACAAAAGTGAATATTTCTGGTTACATACAAACAAAAGGACAAACAATTTCAGGGAAACCATCCTGCAAAACCAATAGAAGACGTAAAGTTGGGAAAAGGGAACATTTTTAGAATGCCAATCTGTAACTGGTGTAATGCCACAGAGATCAGTGCTAGGGTCACAGATCAGAACATTAATTGAGATTATCAATGGTTTAAAATTTGTGAGAGCCGGAACTTAATGCAGAACAGGGAGGAAGGTTCTCATGCTGCCTTTAATGCTTATTGTGGTTTTTGTAATCTTGAGGTAGTAATTTTATTTCAAAATTTTATTCAGTGCATAAGAGTTTAATGCAAGTTATTCTGTTAAAAAAGACAGAAAAGATCTTGAAACAAACAAGAATGCATTTACCGATGCATTAATACAGGCTAAGACAAGGGTCAAGATAAATAATTAAGATATTTGAACCTGGACTAGTATTCTACCATAAAGGGTATATTGGGAGATGTTATAGGCTTCAAACTAATCAGTTGGGGGAGGAATCTACAAGAAATGAAACAAACCTAAATATAAACAAAGTAAACAACAGTAAACATAAGGCATACTTTATTAAGAAAGGTCATAAATAGGCAGAGAATATATAAAGTTTGAGAACGGAAGTATCAAAAAATGCTTAAAAATGTCAGAGAGCAGCTATAAGTGGTTAAACTTCACAGCAATGCAGTGTCCAAAATGGAACAGGAGAACTGGAGGCAATAAGGGCACAGATTTTCCAATGGGAAGATGGCTATTGCAGCAGCACAGACTGGAGTTGAACATTGAAAGCAGGCAGAAGTCCTGACCGACTCTCGGAATTGTTCTGGAAGATGAAACTGAATCCGAGTTGTAGGCTTTGGAGGGTTCTTGCTTACTAATTATTGGGCAAAAGTTAGAAAAACTAAAACTTGCTTCTGGGTAACTATTGAACAGGCCACCTTTGATTGTTCCATAGATAACTGACACTTGCCATCCCCTCCCATACCTGACCTCAAATTCTTCCCCAGTCCTCCCCAGGAACTGAAACTGCCTCCGGACCTTACCCAATTCTCAACTCTGCTTCACACGGAGAACACTCCCACCTACTGCATTACCCTTTTCCCACTTGGTACTCCTATCCTTTATCTACTGGTCAGTACTGTCTATCACCTGCCTGGCACCCTAATCCCCTCCAACTCATATAGTGCATCACCTCAGTCACTTACCTTATGTACTTACCTTCTTGTAGCGGCTTTTAAAGTGGCTTCAGAACCTTTACATTTGGAAATATGGCATGAATTGTGCTGAAAAAGGGGTGTGGTTTCATTACTGTTCTACTTTGCTGTTGGCTGCTTCAGCTGACAAGGTTCCTGGCTCAGAGGTCAACACAGAGAACTTTTAAAAAGCAAGTTTTTTTTGTCCAGTTAGGGCTAGAAATAGGGTTTCTGATCTTGGTCAGAATACCTGGATCATATTGGAAGCATGTTATCCAGCTAAAACCATTCAGGTTGGAATCTAACCCTTCTCCACATGCAGATGTAGGAGAAATTATCCAGCAAGTAGTTGGAGAAGCATTTTCAATAGGTTTGGGGGGGCATCTTTCCTGCTGCTAAATTCATGCTCAGCTGTGTGTGCTTAAGAGACCTGTCAAGCTGGAGCACCAAGGCAGCATTACCGTCAGATTAACATTAAACGCCATAGTCTGATATCAAATCTGCATACTTCTGCTTACATTCTTCATGTCACAATGACATGTACCAAGGTGATATTCAACAGAGTGCACAATGAAAATGTGTACTTGTATTGATAACATTATTTTGGTATCAACTGGCACCAATAGGTCCAAAACCACATATGCAACTGATCTCAATTTTATACCCCTAGTTTTATACTCTTGTAATAACACTAATTAGCTGGACTAAAGCATTGTTTGCCTTGTTTGTTGTTCTTTTTCTATTTTTTATCTTCTAACCTACATGGATTCTCTCCTGGTCATGTTCTCATTTGCAGTTCATGTATTTAGCTTATACCTTTTTGCTTACCATTTTTGTTCCTTTATGACTATGCCTTATTAGCATTCAATTCTGGTCTCCTTGCTATAGGAAAGATGTTTTTAAACTTCAAAGGGTTCAGAAAAAATTTACACGGATGTTGCTGGGATTGGAGGGTTTGAGCCATATGGAGAGGCTGAATAGGCTGGGGCTATTTTCCCTGGAGCGTCGGAGGCTGAGGGGTGATCTTACAGAGGTTTGTAAAATCATGAGGGACACGGATAGGGTGAATAGCCAAAATCTTTTTCTCAGTTTAGGGGAGTCCAAAACCAGAGGGCATAGGTTTAAGATGAGATGGGAAAGACTTAAAAGGGACCTAAGGGCCAAATTTGTCACGCAGAGGGTGGTGCGTGTATGGAATGAGCTGCCAGAGGATGTGGTGGAGGCAGGTACAAATACAACATTTAAAAGGCGTCTGGATGGGTACATGAATAGAAGAGTTTACAGGGGTATAGGCCAATTGCTGGCAAATGGGTCTAGATCAGTTTAGGATGTCTGGACTGCACAGATGATTTGGACCAAAGAATCTGTTTCTGTGCTGTATAACTCTATGACTATAGTATTTAGTTTGTTCTTTCCTTTAGCAACTATATTTTCTTCTTCCATTGTTCTATAATGTTGTCTATTTTATGTTTCCAAGTTCTATTCTTAGCCCCTAAAATCTGACTTTTCCCCAAACTATTACCTTGTATTTTTGTCAAGCTCCTGTCCTTCTTAATTATCTTAAAGAGTTTTATATTATGATCATTATTGTCCTTACATTTTCCTCACTTTTTAAAAGAAAGCTATCATTATTGTAAGTGCTGTTTATGCTGTCTGTCTTTGTCTATGTGCATGTGCCTTTACGGGGAGTTTATACATTAGATTTTTAACTAGTAGAGCTATATGTTGATTGTAATTTTTTACCTGTTGACAAAACCTATTAATTCCTGTTAAGAAAAGAAAGCTGGTTCATGCTTTCTGTTAACCTGAGTCTAAAATAACTGGTAAATATGGGAATATTTTGTATTTTGATTAAGTCTTCAACTTTTGTATTGACTCTGGGAATACTGATGCCTGATTTCCATCTCACTACCCCATTAAAGAGTGACACTATTTTGGATCTAGTGCGGCCCTGACTTGCCTTTCCAAAATGCAGCACCTCACATTTATCTAAATTAAACTCCATCTGCCACTCCTCAGCCCATTGGCCCATCTGACCAAGATCCCATTGTACTGTGAGATAACCTTCTTCGCTGTCCACTACACCTCCAATTTTGGTGTCATCTGCAAACTTATTAACCGTACCTCCTATGTTCACATCCAAATCATTTACATAAATGATAAAAAGCAGTGACTGATCTCTGTGGCACACCATTGGTCACAGGCCTCCAGGCTGAAAAGCAACACTCTACCACCACCCTCTGTCTTCTACCTTTGTGTCAGTTCTGCATCTAAATAGCTAGTTCTCCCTGTATTCCATGTGATTTAATCTTGTTAATTTATCTACCATGAGGAATCTTGTCGTGCGAAAACCATATCTGGATTACTGTGAACAGTTTTCTAAAGAGAGATATATT